ACCTCCTCCTGTGCCTCTGCTTCCCTCCTCCTCCTCCTCCCTTCACCATTTAGACTCTTGCTCTCCACCAGGATAAAATTAACCCTGATAATATAAAATAAAGGCACCCAGAGTGAGGTACAATATGATCTAGTCTTCACTGGTTCATCTAAATACCTTTCTAAACCCCACTCTAAGCTCACACAGCCTTGTACTCTGACCTCTTTTGGGGCAGCTCCACTCCCTCAAGTCATGCTCAGATCAAAAACCAAGAGGTGAGGAAGCCACCTGGAAATATTCCCTTCCAGCAAGGTGGTGACCTTCAGGATGACCCGGGAGAGACCTGGTGTCACCACACTACAAATATGACTGAGCTGAGCAGCTCAAAACCTGCTCAAAACCTCTGCCATCCTGCCCACGAGCTCCTTAATAGCAGGGTAAGGAATTAGGAAGCTGAAGGCAGCCCATGTGAGGCTCCTGAACCTCCCAAGATACACAGGCTCATATCCCCAGTGTCCATCTCCATGTTATTAGGAGAACTGCTAGACAAGTTCAAAAGGCAGCTGCCTTCCAAGTCACCAAGCCAGGAAAAGCTATAATTTCTCTCACTGTAATTTCTCTCTATGATTATAACAGTGGTTGACTGAGTCAACACAGGCAATGTCAGCAAGAGATTTCACCCAAGGACAGCAGAGACCCAGGGAAGAGGCAGAGCCTGGGAGGAGGGGCTGAAATGTGTGTGGGAGCTGGCCTGGATAGCTGCAGTTCTCACTGGGATATTAAACAGGCTCGAGGATCAGAGAGACAGTAAATATACAGAGCTTAACTTCATCCCTTCCCAAGGGCTGGGAGCAGAGAAGGTGATCCTGCCTCTGCTGAAATCACAGGGAGTTTTCCCACTGGTTTTGATGGGGATTTTACCCATCCCAGGCAATAAGCAACCAAACCATCAGCAGGCTGGGAGAGGCCACCCTGGCCCTGGCACTGAGTCTTCCTTCTCCAACAGCTCCAGGGACTGCTTTATATCCTGGGGCATCAACCTATTCCAAGTTGGGAAAAGAGGGGCTCAAAAACAGGGTGTCCTGTGCAGGGACAGGAGCTGGACTACAGTGACCCTGGTGGGTCCATTCCAACTCAGAGATATTCTATGAATCTATAAAAAAAATGCCATTTTTAGCTCACAAAAATTGTGGCTCCGTGGATGAGAAAGAACCTCTTGTAAAGGGCAACTTCAGGCAAAACTCTGGAAGGACTGTTCTCTTCCCATGGAATACAGGGGAGCTCAGGGAAGCAACCCTGATGGGTTGGAGCATCCCTAATACACCTCCCTCCTGCAAAACCTTCTGCGGATCGTTCTGGAATCCTCCTTTCATCCTAATGCCCAAACACTGCATTCTGACATTTGAAAAGGGCCAGAATCCAAGTTTTTTTCCAGAGCAGTGTTATCCTAAAACACACAGGGCCGTTCCCCCTCAGCTGACAGGCCCACACTAATATTGTTTTAAGGTGGGGACAGAGAAAAAGGGTCGTGCCAGTCGTCATCTCAGAGCAACAGCCCTATCACAACAGGTCATGTGAGCCCAGCAAAACCAACTCTGTTTGTTCCTACATCAGCAAAGTCAGCTGGAGCCTTGCCTTTGGCACTGGGGAGGGCAGAGACAGAAGGATCATAGCTGGAATTCCTGCTCAGATGGCCCCGGGGGAACCAGCAGCCAGAAAAGAAATCAACCCTAATTCCTCAGTGAAGCAACCTCGGGAGGGCTCAGGAAACCAAGGGCTGGGGGGAGCACAGAGGGTGTGGAGAGAAAAAAACTGGGATCAGCACCCCCAGCCCCTCTCCCTCATCCCAGCTGAGCAGGGGGTGAGTTGGGAATCGGAGCCAGAACCGCTTCCCACCGGGATAAATCACTACAGACAACACAGGTGCCCCATTTGATCCCAGAATCCACTTGATTCCCCACCTCTGATGCTGCAGTGCTGAATCTACTGGAAAGGGCAAGGGAAGCAAAGGAGAACAGGGCTTGGAAACAACAGGTTACATTCCTGAACTCCCGTGTGCTCCCCCTGGGAATTAAAGGAGCAACGTGGAATCCGAGCTGAGCTGCAAAGGAGCTCCACTGAAACTCCAGGTGAGTTCCTGGCACTGCTGAGGTCGAAGCCAAAACTCTCCATTAACTCCCCAAAGCCAGAATTTCCCCCCAAATTTTGACAAACCAACCATCAGTATAGGAAACATGGCCAGGACTCTTTGTTTTAACTCCACTGCAAACCGTACGTAAAATAAATATTTCCCTACAGTGACTGGAAAGCAAAACAGCCTCAAAGCCACCCTCCTGCATGAAAATGGGAAATAAATTGAAGCATGAAGCCGACCAACCTGTTTGCTTGCCCAAAATTAGGGCTGTGTATAAACAGAGGGAGTAAAGGTATTTGTAAATAAATCACATCAAGTTTGCTTAAAGCACAAATGAGGAAATGTGGGGGGGGTTTTTCCACAAATCTCACATCCAAAAAGGCTTTTTCCCCCCCCCCAAAAAAAAAAAGCCCAGGAACAGAGGCACACAGTGGGACACGTGCCCATGGGAGGAGCAGGTTCTTTGGAAAAGTCCCAGTATTTAAAATACACAAAGATACAACTCTGAGAGTGCAATTTTCAGGCTGTAATTTGTCTGCAATATTATGAATCCAGCTCGCTAAACATTGCCCTACTTATCATAATAAGAAAAGAAAAAACCCTCTGCCATCAACCACATCCCACCTGCTCTGGGAAAGGCCACCCACCAAGAGCACGTCCAGGAGGGCAGCTCTCCCTGCTCCAGCGTGGAAAAAAACTCCTGCAAACGCTGGAATTCTGCTGAGAAAACAGCTGAGCTGCCACAGGGGCTGAAGCTCTGAAGCCTGGTTGGATCATTTGTCCTGATTTCCACAGCTCCAGTGGCTGATTCCCACCCTTCCATCATCCTCATCAGTCCAATTCGTGTCCTTGCTATGAAGCTTTGGTTTTTGTTCAGAGATATTTTGTATTTTGGTGTCTTAACGTGAGACACTCAGGAGGGTCAAGTTTAGTGACCAGCCTGCCCTGTCCACTGTCATCATCCAAACTGGGCTTGTTTGCCACAGCTGTAAAAAGACAATTTGTAAAAAGGGGGGTTCTCCTCCCACCTCCCCGACTCAGAGATGTGTTCCCAGCACCATTAGAGGGACATTCAGGCATAATTCAGTCCCAAAAGCAAAAGACATTATTTGCAAATAAAGCAAGCCCAGGTGTTTCTGAAGCACGAGGCTCTGCAGGGGTAAAATCAGGCAAACGAACTAAAGGGCTGCTCCAGAAAATTTTGCCAAAGCAATTTCTGCTTGAAACATTTTTCAAAAAGTGCCACTGAGGGAAATAATGCTGCTGAAAGGTCAGAGGCAGGCGACAGAGAATGTTATTTTGATCTAATTCAGCTTAACAAGGAAGAACAAGATGATAATTCAAGTGTGAACCAGGTGTATTAATAACAAAGGAACAACGTCAATGAACTGAAGCTGAATTTTCTGAAAAGAAAACACCATTTCAGTGTTATTCATTTAAACTGACAGCAAAGACTCGAAGAAAAACTGGATATTAGTGCACACAATGAGATGGTCCCCAGCTCCTCTCCCACTTCACATTCCCTGGGTGGGGTTACCTTCGTGCACAAACCTCACACTCTGAGGGGAGAACACCATGAAAAACCATTTTCCAGGTTATTTTAAGAAGTTTTATTTGAAGCTTTAGGCCAAGCTCACAGGCCAGGCTGTGTCTGGACCACTCCTACTCCCAAGCTCCAGATCAATCAACCCAAGTCCAGGGATCAGCCTTGAAGAGATGAGGATGTTCCAGTCCAAACAGAGCTGGGTTTGAACTGAGGAGGGTTAGGCTCATCCCTGGCTGAGCCTGAGATCTCTTTATATCCCTGGATTGGACAAGATATCCATGGATTGCACCAGCACCTGTCCTGAACCGTGGGCTTTTATTCCCCTGGGCCTGGACTCCCCTCCTGTGCAAGGGCAGCACCTCAGAGCACAGGACAGACTGAAAGATGCTCAGACACTGCACTACTTCACATCTTTATCCCTCATTCCTGTGGGCAGCAACAGACTCCAGGGCACCATGGAAGAGTTCACACTGCCACAGAGGGGGTTGGTTTTTCTCCAGCTCAGACAACATTCCCAACAATGACTTGCTGACGGAGTTTTAAGACCCTGGCTCTGACAGGCCAAGCAACACAAGCAGGGACAGAGAGCCTGGAGCTCATTCCTGAGGCATTTTGGAGGCAGAGGGGAACACCATGAGTGTCTAATCCTGGTGTCAGCAGAACAGTCAGTCTGTCTGCCTTTTTATTTTGAGGTATTTTCACTTCCCAATCCCTCTCTTCCCCCCAAAAGAGGAAATGAGCACAAAAGGAACCATCTCAACAAAAATCCTGTGCTAAAGCTGAAGTGGGCACGTGAAAATCCTTAAATAAGTGGCCCAGTTCCCAAAGACACACAGAAAGAACACTGGCATGGAGCTCCTGGGTGTGAACAGTATGATGGACATCCATCCACAGACATCGTGGAGACAGGAACTGAGGCGCAGGAACGTGGGGAATCTGCTCCTCAGCCTGCAACCAGAGGTCACAGTGACTGGTTTCATAGAATCATAGAATCATAGAATCGATTGGGTTGGAAAAGACCTCTGAGATCATCGAGTCCAACCCTTGGTCCAAATCCAGTCCATTGACTAGATCATGGCACTCAGTGCCACGTCCAATCTGCGTTTAAAAATCTCCAGGGATGGTGAATGCACCACCTCTCTGGGCAGCCCATTCCAGTGCCTGCAGGAGCAGACCCAAAACTCTGCTGAAGTCACACAGGCAGCCGGGCAAAGCCTGCCAGGGGGAAGTGACAGAGCTCAGGGACCACCCGGGCCCAAATGTGTGACTTCCACGGCTCCCGAGCTCACGTGAGACCGAGAAAAGGCCAGCTCTGCTGGGACAGGAAAACCAGGCACTTACTGATCATGGTGGTGCCCCCAGCCAGGGCAGCCTTGGTCCCTTGGAAGAAGTCATCAGCAGACGTCATGCCCTGCTCCGGCATCTGGAAGCGGGTGTGGACGTCGATGCCGCCGGGAATCACCATCCTGCCGTGGGCTTCGATGGTCTTCACCCCCCCGGGCACAATCAGGTTCTCCCCGATTTGCCTGGGGAAGGAAAAGGTTGCCAAGAGCAGGTCAGGCCCAGGCAGGTGTAAACAGACACCCTGGGCTACTTAACCTGCCTGCAGTTGGCTTTTTCCACCTAAAGGAGGGCACGGGAGCAGCACAACACACGGTGAGAGGACTTGATCCTTCCCCTTGGAGCAGCTGCCTAAGGGAGGGGGGGGGGTGCAAGTCCTTCAGGACATCGGGGCAATAATAAAGGAAATATTTTATAATTTTGTTTCTATACTTATATATTTTTATATTTATATTTATCTTGTATATATTGTAACAATTATATATCTAAATATAAATTATAAATATATTTATAATAAAGGAATTATATTTTTGTTTCTATATTTATATGTTTTTATATTTATATTTATCTATTTATATTATATATATTGTATCAATTATATATAAAAATATAAATTATAAATATATTTATAATAAAGGAATTATTTTATATTTTTGTTTATATATTTATATTCCTACTGTGTTTTACATTTATCTATTTATATTTTATATATTATATCAATTTATATATATAAATGGATATACATTTAAATATATATTTTTATATATAGTATATACATTTATATATTATATGTCTAAAAACTGATATATATTAGATATATAAATTGATATATATTTATATATATTTATATATAGGATATACATTTATATATTATATATCTAAAAATTGATATATATTAGATATATAAATTGATATAAATTTATATAAATATATTATATATATTTATATATTTACATACTTATATATAGTATAAATATATTGTTTATCTGAATTTATATAAATATAAATTAGAAATATATCTATATTATTTTTTAATAAAGGAAGGAAAAGGAGCCCCTGTGGCAGCTGGGGAAGGGGCTGTGCAAGTCATGGATTCTCAGTGCCCCCAAAGCAGCTTTGCTGGGGCTGCACTGGGGTGGCCAAGTGGCAGCTCAGCCCTTGATTCCAGCTCTCCCCCAGCCAGCCAGGTCTCAGCGCTGCTTTAGGAGCACTGCGAGGGGTTTTTGCTTCTCTGTTATCTCCTTTCCCTTCCTGCCCAAGCCCCTGCACGAACACAAATCCAGGCAGACCCTGGTTCCCAAATTCCTGGGGAGACCCTGGAAGGTGCCTCCAGCCCAGCCCCTCCCAGCCATCCTTTCACAAGTGCAGCAGTGGATTAATGACACCCTGCAATTAATGAGCTGTCCCTGGCTGGCTCCTTTAACTTTTAACCTTGATTAACAAAGCACATGTGCTGCCTGTTTATGCAGAACAGGAAAATTCCTTGTTTGTAACCTCTGGCTTGTCCTTTTTTTATTTTTTTTTTTTTTTTCCTAGGAGTAATTTTCCAAAGAAATCTGTAATGTATTTAACGTGCCAGAAAGGCATGTTTTCAGGACTGAAAACACCAAAAGAGGTCTGAACCTCTTCAACCACGGGCTGGGTTTGAGCTTTGAGGGGGGTTGGATTGATCTTTGCATTGCAGAACCAGAGAGGTCAGCGCTGCAAGAGGCTGCAAGAGGTCACCCAAGTCCAGCCTCCCATCCTAAAACAGAATTAACTGTGTTAGGACACTGAACTCTGGGTTCAAAATATCTGAAGTCATAACTCAGTAAAACATTACAGCACGGATAACTTCAAACACATGTGTCATCTCAGCATGGGGCTGCTCACATGGCTAAAATTAAGCACATGTAAGTACCTCCTTTGAGCCAGGGGGGTTTGGGCCCACTTGTTTATTTAATTCAACACCTTGTTTTTAAAGTCCCTTCATTAAACACCAGGATATACGTGAAATATTCTTTTTTTTTTTTTTTCCACTGCAGTTTAACAGAGCTCAGTGAGAGCTTAAGCCATTGCTTGCTCTCTGCAGTGCATTTCTGTGCATCCCCAACCACAGCAGAATATCAAGACTCACTTACTTTATCAACCCATCCTCCATGTAAATGTCTGCATAAAAAGACTGGTCGTCATTAACTATTTTACCACCTTTGATCAAGAGACGATCGCTCTGCAACAGAAGGAGACACAATTATTCAGAGGGAAGGCTGACAGTCTGCAGTGTCACTCCAGAGATAAAAGGGGAGGGAAGGCATCAAGCTCTGCATTATTCACCAGAGCACGTCAAAACCACCAGTCAACTGCTGCACTTTCAACTGCAAAGATAAAACATCTCACTGCAGCCCCGAGCCCTTTCATCACACCCGTGATCAAAAAAATATCAGGGGGGGTTTATTGGCAGCTCCACTCCTACCTGCAGCTTGGCAGCACCACGTGCAGCAGCAGCAGCAGCATTAAATAATCCTCGGAGGGGTGTGGAAGAGCCACATCTCTATTTTTGAGGCACAATTTCCTATCTGCACCCACACAGTGGAGTCACTACTTGGCTCAGCGTTGAGTCAACTGCTGTCAGGGAAATGGCCCAAAAGTCTGTTGCCAGGGGTTACACAACACAAACAACCTCCTTTGGTCCAATTTAGTGATGTCTCCCTGCAGTGGATCCTCCCGGAGCCCTTCCAGAGCTCCACTGCACGACCAGATGGAAGCGAGCAGGGAGCAGCACCCGGAGTTTGGGAGAAGGATTTACACAATGCTTATTAAGATCTCCTCGAATCAGAAGGCACTTTGGCAGGAACAGGGAGGTTGTTATAACAAAGCAGCTATCAGGCAACGTGATTTTATCACAGCACAGGGTACATCTCGCCTCTGCCAGATTTTAGGGCAAAAACAAATGTATCTTTTTTTTTGTTTGTTTTTTTTTTTTGCAGTAGCCACAAACAAGAGTGAAACACTGCAGAGCTCCGGGTGGGAGGAGAGTTAAAAGTGGCTGCTGCACCCCCCTGGCTCCTCCGTTCCCCACATCACAGAGGCATTTTTGAAGCAGATGAATATTTAAGGCAAAGCACACACATGTTACGCACTGTTTGGTTTAAACCACACCTTGGCCCCCGAATCTGCACTTGTACTTACTGTGATTCTTTTTTCCTCCTCCCAAAAAATGCCTTTGGGAGAGAACAAAGCGATCCCAGCACAGCCAAGGGCTCAGGGAACCAAAAGCTGACTTTAACAAGGGGTGGGAAGCAGGAATTTAACTCAGAGGTGCCCTGAACTTACAGAAAATATGTATAATGCAGTGACAGTGGTGCTCAGGGCCCTTATTTCAAGGAGCAGCTCCACTGGTCAAACAGAAGGAAGAATCAGGCATTTTCCCAAAAAGCTGAAGAGTTGGAGCACCCAATTCTGAACTGACACGGGCTGACACGGCCCTTTTAACACCAAAAAGGCCACAGGAATTTCATCAGCTCCTGTTTTATACCATGACATCCATCTTTTACACAACTGCTGAACATCTATGAGATGGCAAGTCCTTCTCCCTCTTTTTTTTTCAGTCTCCTTCCTCCTCCTGCTGCAACGGGAGACTCTCCCTGGGCAATGCCACCGAGTCCAAAAACAAAGAAAACCCCAAGATTTAAATTTAGGAGCTGCTGCCGATGCCAATGAGCCTGGATGAATTGAGGTGGGGTGTGAAAAACCCACCTGTCCTTCCAGGCCAGCCAAGTGTCCTACATGTTTATCACCTCCAGAAGCACTGCAGTGCTGATGCCACCTCCAGAGCAGGCTCCCTGTGCCACCACAGGGAGCGAGTTTGGCCTTGGATGTCACCCCCAGCCCGAGTCCCAACGCACTGGGCATCAGTTAGGGAGGGAGAAGGAAAAATATACATGTATAGTGGCCACAAAGATGCAGCCTGGGGCATTTTAATGATGCTTCTGCTAATAAGCAAGGGCTGCTGCTGAGGATTTGGAGGGTCTGAGATGAGGGTGAACCCTCCTGCTCATCCCCACCACCTTGCAGACAAAAGCACAGGCAGTTTGTGTGAGGCCCTGCCACTAAATCCGTGTTATTCACCCTGTGGATGCAGCGAAACCAGGGCAGCCACACATCCATTATCCTCCTTCTTCAAGCTTTAAGTCCCGGCTGGTAATTCCAGGTTTATACCACGGCAAATAAGGGCAGAATGTGATTTTCCCCATCCCTTCACAGGAGGGCTGGGCGCACACAACATAAATCAGAGCGTTCAGCCAGAAGAAAAATGCGTCATGTCACTCGTGGCCCGTGACAGGGGTTCAGCAGGAACCTCCATCTCTCTTTTAAACAGCTTTTTAAACTCTTTACCGTTGGATATTGGAAGGGAACTACCTCCCTACCCCAAAAAAAAAAATTAAAAAAAATAAATTAAAAAAAAAGGATGCTTCATTTATCACAGTTCTGTGCATCCCCTGCGTTTCTTCACCACTGTAACTGTCCAACCCAGCGGCTCCTGCCCAAATACTGACACGTCAAAGCCCCGTTTCCGAGCTCCCTTTCCTGCCCCCGAGGATGAGGAAGGAGGACGAGGATGGGTGTGTCCGTGGGGCTGGGCAAGGAGCGGCTGCCAAGGATGAAAAACTCTCGTGTCCAAAAAAAAAAAAAAACCACACAAACAAGCAGCGGCTCCAGCAGCCCGTTAGACGGGAATGCCTTACGTAACCCAAAGTTGGTACCCTCGGATCTGCAATACCTGCCCTAAATCGGCTCCCACAACAAGGAGACCGAGGGAGGGGGTTGGATTTTATATAACGGCTCCTTCCCTGCTCCCCCAGGATCGCTCCGAGACCTGCGCCTTGCCAGAAGCTTCTTGGGGAAGAAAAGGCGATCCTGGACCATCCCCGGGCGGGGATGGAGGGGCTCGGGTTGATCCCCCCCCGCCCGGAGCCGCCCCTTCGCCGGGATGGAGCACAAACCGGGGGCACCGAGCCCACCCCGGGAACGCACCGAGGGCAGGGACCCCCCCCCGGGAACACACCGAGGGCTGGCAGAGCCCCCCGGGGACAAGGAGAGCCCACCCTGGGAACGCACCGAGGGCAGGGACCCCTCCCCGGGAACACACCGAGGGCTGTCTGTCCCCACTCCGGGCACACCCCGAGGTCAGGGAGAGGCCCCCGGGGACAAGGAGAGACCACCCTGGGTACACCCAGCGGGCAGGGACCCTTCCCTGGGCACTTCCCGAGGGCAGGGACCCCTCCTGGGCACACCCCGAGGGCAGGGACCCTTCCCTGGGCACATCCCGAGGGCAGGGACCCCTCCTTGGGCACACCCCGAGGGCAGGGGGCCCCCTCCTCGGGAATACACCGAGAGCTGGGACCTCTCCCCAGGCACACAGAGAGGGCACCGAGCCCACCCTGGGCACACCCCGAGGGCTGGGAGAGCCCCCCGGGGCCGGGAGAGCCGACCCCAGGCACCCCCCGAGGGCACCGATGCCCCCGCCCGGGGGTCCCCGCGGTGCCGCGGGGGCGATGCCGCCGAACCCGCCCCCGGCCGGGGCTCAGCATCCCCCGGCTCTGCCGACCCCGGCCCCCCCCCCGGAGCCCCCCCGGGCGCTGCAGCACAGGAAGCGCCGCATTATCCCTGATCCCATTATCCTGCCCCAGCCCCGCATCGCTCCGGCACACAAAGGGCTCCATCCCCGCGCACCCCTCCCCCTTCCCCGCCGCTATTCCACTCACCGTGATCCGCGGGATATTTTTCTTCCCCTGATAAGACATCTTGGGAAAAAAATCAACCCCCGGCGCGTTTATGCGACAACGTTAATTATTTTTTTTCTTTTTTTTTTTTGCTGTTTGTTTTTTAAAGAGAGGAGCGCGGCGGCTGCTGCACCGCTATTGTCTCCCCGCTCAGCGGCGGCCGCTCCGCGAGACCTCCCCTCCACCGGCGCGATTAAAAAAAAAAAAAAAAAAATTCAATAATAAAAAAAATTAAATCCCCAATTAGAGGCCGGATCGCGGCGATCCCGGGGAAGGGGAGAGTGGGGCGGGAGGGGGGGAAGGCGCGCGGCGCGGCGGGGGAGGCGAACCGTGCTCTCCGCAATGGCAGGAACGGGAGAAGCAGCCAGCCCTGCGCGTCTCCCTTTCTTCCCTGCGCCCGGAGCCCGGCCCAGCCCCGGCAAAGCCCAACCCAGCCCCGGCAAAGCCCAACCCAGCCCCGGCCAAGCCCGGCCCAGCCAAGCCCGGCCCAGCCCGGGGCGGCAGCGGCGCATGCGGCCCCCGCCGCGCGCGGGCCACGCCCCGCCCGCCTCGCCGCGCCATTGGCTGAGCCCCCGCCGGGATGCAAATCAGCGGCGCCCGCCGCCCAATGGGAGGTCGGAAGACGCGGCTGTATGCAAATGAGAGCGGGTGGGAGGGGCCGCGCGCTGCCGGCGGAGCGCGGGGAGGGGGGGGGAATGGATCGGGAAAGGGAGAGGGACGCGTCGGGATAAACCGGGATAAACCGGGATAAATCGGGACACACAGGCCCCCCCCGCGGCCACCGAGCCACCGCCCCGCGGGGGAGCTCCGGGGTAGCGGAGCTGCCGCGCTGGGCGGGGAGGGCAGGGCGGGACGCAGCGGAACGACCCCCGCCCATCCCGCGGGATGCGGACAACACCAATCCATCCCCCGACGGGGATGCGAGACCCCCAGGAGGAGAGAAAACGATCCCTCCCAGCCCGAGGGCTGCGGACACCCCAATCCATCCCCCAGCGGGAATGCGAGACCCCCGGGAGGAGTGGAAATGACCTCCCCTCCAATTCTGGGGGATGCGCGCACCCCCATCCATCATCCAGCCCCGACGGGGCTGTGAGACCCCCGGGAGGGGAGGAAGTGACCCCACCATTCCCGGGGGATGCGGACACCCCCAAACGAGCCCGCCGGGGCTGCGGGACTCCCGGGAGGAGAGGAAACGACCCCTCCCATCCCGGGGGCTGCAGACACCCCCCAGTCCATCCCCCGACTGGGATGCGAGACCCTCGGAGATGGGAGGAAGGGACCCTCCCCGATGCCGGGTGATGCGGACACCCCAATCCATCCCCCGCCGGGGCTGTGAAACCCCCGGGAGGGGAAGAAGCGTCCCCCTCATCCCGTGGGATGCGGACACCCCATCCATCCCCCACCAGGGCCGTGAGAGCCTCGGGAGGAGAGGAGACGACCTCCCCAT